AGACCTTCAGCTCAGTTCACTTCTTACAATCATTAACCATCCACTTTCGTGCGCCGGTTTTGGTTGCCCATTTGGATAAAAAGCAGACTGAAGATTAGAATGTTGACAGCAGATTCAAGCAGAAGATAGTGAATTGACATAGACTGAAGTTACAAAAATAATGAGTAGACACATGAGCGCCACTGTTTGCGACGCCCAGCCATACCACTCAGTATCTCTAACCATCGGTGACCATGATCTTTGGGTCCCCAGCCAGGGATTCTAACGGGACAGGTCTTAGTTTGACCGCCCTTGATGTTTTTCCAACCGCTACCTGCCTCGGCAAATATCGATCCCCGTGGCAGCCTATCTGGTGACATGCGAAGCACATGTCCCAGCCAACGTAATCTATGAAGGTCGACCGCGATTACTCAAAACTCTGCGCCCAAACTCAGCATTGCTCGTCCGGTTTCCCCACCAGACTTGTGCAATTCGATGTAGACAGCGATGTTCGAACACCGATAATCTATATTTATCCTATTCCCGTAGTGATCAAGTCTCTGTACCATAAAGCAGCACTGGTCGAACTGCTCTGCAGCATATATACTCGATCCTTCACAACTGACAGCTGGATGTCGTGACTTCACCACAGCGTCTCAACCCCCAATCTCTAGTAAATGAATTTTGGCTATCCTTCGTAATCCAGACACATACACACACACACACACACACGAACCCCAGTTTGTATAATTAGCCATACGCACAGGATGTATCAGACTTGAGTTTCACTCTCAACGGAGCCTATTTGTAGTATTATATATATATATATATATATATTTGACTCATATGATGTTTGAATTCTTTCTTTCCAGATTGTTGGCTGGCGTTTCCTCAGATACATATATTCCTCAAAGATAGCAAGTTACATACTAAATTAATATTGATTTATAATGCCAGCCGAAACGCTCTCATTAAATCCCAGTCTACCATGCACATTCGGGTATGTGTCTAATATAAAACCGGTGAGGTTACAATTTTTATTCACGATTAGTTGTGCATAGCTTTTGGCAATGATTTTGATTGAATACGCTTCAGAATTCGTCGGCACCAGTGCATTCAATCAACCTTATTCATACACATAATTGATCATAATTTAAAAGATACAAAATAATTTATCCGTTAATTTTCCTTGATTTGCCATAAATTTAGTGAAAATAAAAACGAACGCAACTGTGATGACAGTTCGAAACACAAACTTGACAAATCAGTGATCTGTCGAGATGTCGAGATATGTCGAGAATGTTACCCGTTCTATTGTGCAAGCAACCCTTATGCACACACATTTGACAAAACAAGATAAAAGTATAAAAGAATAAATTATTTAGGTAAATGACTTGTTGAGTGTTTGAATAAATGAATGAATGAATGAATAAGTGAATGAATGAATGAATGATGATCGTATATACCTTCCCTTATCCTGAATTAATTGAGCCAAACTGTCCGGTCGAAGTGGTTCATTACCGTCAATGTGCACACGTCTGAAATAGAAGTGCAGGCAAATGATATGTATCAGGCGGGATACTGAAAAACTTGCGGGTGTCTGTGTTGTTGTTTTTGTTTTTGTTGTTGTTGATGTAGATATTGTAGTTTCAGCTATCTCATTAGGTGCTGCTGCTCCTAGTTGTGGTGTTGGTGGTGGTGTTGTTGTTGTTATGGCGGTCGGATTTGAACGCATCACAATTACCACTACAATGCTAAAGGAAATTTTCTAATAAATGGTGAAGAGGCATGATATAACTGTATAATAGGATGACTGTGAAAATTCAGTCCATTGCGTTATTCGGTAATAGTTACCAACCAATTCGGTTTTATTGTTTGTGTCTTGTCTTTTTACTTCCTTTTTTATTTATTTATTGAATATAGACGTGTACAATCAATAATCAGGAAGGGGAGCAGCGGCCATATAAAGGCTGCCTAGGTAGACGGGCGACGGTAGAGCGGTTCTAGCTCGGGACTCACAGGTCACAAGTTGGTGACCACCAACCACTTGGCCACCACCGCCCACCGTCCTGAACTGTACTTCCAAACGGAAAATTTATGCATGAGAATGATGCAATAGAAGACAATTTTTGCCGACGGAGAGAAAATAAAATTATTGAACATTGAATGTACTTCAGATTTTATCTGCAGTTTATACTGTCAACCATGGACTCCATAAGCAATGTAATTACGTTTCCCTCTCGACAATAATCTGTAGTGAACGGTGTGTTACCACTGTGCCATTTATCTCACGTTCTTGCAGAGCAAAATCAACTCTTCAAGTTTATTCACTTGTTGACTTCGAAAACAGTCAGTCAGTCAGTCAGTCAGTCAGTCAGTCAGTCAGTCAGTCAGTCAGTCAGGATAACCCTGAAAAATGATCCGTTCTAATCAACATGACTTATTCCATACCACTATGGCCAGGTGTAATTGTGAGCTTGGAAAAGATCGCTATCCAATGCGTCAGTGAAGCTTCAAAGTACTGATAATTTTGTTTAGCCTGGCCGACGAAACCTCAACGCAAACAACACTTCCAAGTCTGGGAGAACACTCCAGCACCAACAAAAAATTGCGTGTTTTGCACAATCCAGACACGATTTACTTGACCGTATTGTTCTCAGCCAAAAAAGTGGCCAGTTGGATCACTTGTTCATCCGTGAGCCCTACACGCCACAAACTGGAATGGAGACAGAGAGACAGAGGAGGAGGGGAACTTTGATCAACCGGGAAACTGATTTGTGAACAATGTGACTACACCAGGCTCAATGTGAACACACCACTGTTACGTAACGAAAATCGATTCATATTTTCAGATAATGGTTGCTCGAACACCATTTTTTTTTAAAGCTTCGAAACATAGCAAAAAATAATTCTGTAGTACTAAAAGAACTTTTGAGCAATCAAGATTCAAATAGACTTAACGTTCTTGATCCATAGGCTTTACAGATAGAGGCTTCTTTATTTTCCGTTCTGTTTGG